TGATGAAAAATAGAGGCAAAGCGTTATTATTTTAAGGATCTATTTGAAAGGTCATAAAGGATCCTAGGCTAGAAAGGGCTTTAGAAATTTGTGTCTGCATATACTTTAAAGAATCTGTTTCTAGAAATAAAGAATAAGGGAACATTGGTGGTAAAAATTGGAACAAAACCTTTCAAAAGAACTATTTAAAATAGGGTTTCCCAGAATGGCCTTCAGGAATTTGTTTTTCAATGAAATTGTTCAACCCATAGGAGAAAATTATTATTGTCCATTCAGGCACTCGATTAATGTCTATATTTAAATGGTAGTCCACTCATGTTAACATGCTTGAAGCATTTCGAGTTTCTCCTTTTATTATCACAATAAATCTTTATTATCAAAATACAATCATTTCAAACGTACCTACAAAAATTAAACCTATATAGGAATCTATATTACTTTGCAAATATTAGAACATAAATTTTCAGAATTTTGTTTATATTATTGTACAATATGTCCATTTTATAGGTCTTTGCAAAATAAATCCCACAATAACAAAAACAAATGCCATCTTCAAAGAAAAGACGTTCCTTCGAGCACCACCAAACCCTTTCTGCAAATTAAATCCCACAATAACAACAAGAAATGCCATCTTAACGAAAAGACGTTCCATCGAGTACCAGCAACCCTTTCTGCTCCTTTTTCCGGTTCCTCCCCTGTAAACAGAATAAACGGCACGGGCCAGTTGGTGGGATATCTCGGGTCGTAGCCAAATATCCGGCGAAACGTGCCGGCGCGAATTGGAAACGCGGATACGAGGAAGTTTCTGCACGAGTCCGCATAGGTGTACACCCCGCTGGGCTTCGAAACTCTCCAAAGGAGAGCCAGAGGGGCGGCGAAGAGCCGCCACGGTTCGAAAAAGAGAGAAAGAGGCAGTTATTCTGGTCTGAGGTCTTCCGACGTGCTTTCCGATGCCTGGAATTTCTTCACCAGAGGGAGCCACGTGCGGTGACGGAAGAGTGGGAGCAAGGTGATGAGGAGGACGCCGAAGAGAAGGGGTCAATCTCAAATTACTTGGTGAGCTCCCGAGCTAGGCCGAGCGAGCATCTTTGCCCGCCATCGCCTGGCGACCTTTTATAGACACTCGACGGGAGTGGGGCGGGGTGGGTGGTCGTGGAAATTTTGTGAAAACTGGAAGTTTCGATGGAAAATGGTACCCACCCGTTGCTCCCTTTACACCTATCTGAAGAGAGCAAATGAGAAACCAAGTTGGGAAATGGTCTTGTGTACTTGCTTAAATGCTTCCATCTAAAGTCAGTCCTATAAGTATTCGTTCCCAATATGTTGAAGAAATTTGTCGAAATTAAATGATAGACTCGACGATTCCAAATAAATTTTTTATTACAAGTATATACATGAATAAATTTTTTGGAAACACCAAACCTGTCATTTAATTTAAACAAGCGTCTTCGTTAGATATAAAGAGTACGAATACTTATGGGACTGATTGTATGTCTTCTGTATGCAGAACTTTTTGGAGCAATGTGTAGTAATAATTAGATTGCGGGTGATTAGGGATTTATGGCAAGTCGAAATGTAGAAAAATGTACTGGGATGTGTACAAATAGATGTATAAAATATGAAAAATGCAATATATGTTAGAACATTTAGAAGACAAAATATAGTTTACTTTCTATAATTGAATGAAATTTTTATAATTTTTATCATTTAATTTCTAAGATTGATTCTATAATTGAATTTCTGTTCTTCATTTGTGTATGTAAAAATATGAATTTGCATGAACATCCGCAGTTTGTGCTGCGAACAACAAACCTTGTGCCGATCATCTACAATTTAAATTAAAGAAAAAAGAAGCGGTGTATAGATATTTAAAGTAAGCATTGGATGCAAAGAATTTCGAATTGGAGACATTTCGCGGCGTCTTGCCATTTCAGGTAAATAAAAATGGATTATAGGATATAAATACGGGAGGAATTCACGGTGGTGGGAGTGGTATGGTATGCTAGTAGAATGAGAGGCTCCTGTTTCAGACGCGGCAAGTAGTAAGAGTAAACGAACCCCGAATGTCGGAACTGTAATAGAGACAATATGCAGAAGAAATGAGATGTTTTAGAAAACTAAATTACTTTCATTGGAATGATCTTGTTTGAAATAACACACCATCGAACAATAACAGCATCTATAGCAGAAATTATTCAGAACAGAGATGATTAACTGCCAGACGATGAATAGCACACAACAACGTATTAAACGTATTAACAACGTAATAAATAGCCAGAAATAAATTCTGTTCTACAGTCGATAGATCGTGGCATCTTATTTTTAATCGTTAGTCATAAATAAATTGTTATAAATAAAATGTCACGAATAAAAGATGGACTCGTATTAATAGCAATAATGTTTGCCACGAGACCATCGGCATTTGAAGTTCGCGAACGATTCCTTCCACAAAGGAAGATGCCCCAGACTTGGGGATTATTGTACGCGTAACAGAATGTTGAATAAATTTGGAAAGCATGGAACGAGACGGTGCTTCGAGACCGCAATACCAACGCCGTGCCGATGGAAACACGCCCAGCATTCTCGTTAACCATCGTCGAATCGTCAACAACGATGTCGAGCGTAAATACCGAAAAGCCGGTGGATATTTCGTCGCAGCTGCGAGATTATCGTGAATTCGCGGTGTATTCCAGGAATCGGATCGGTAGACAGCAATTTTTCAAAAGGAATTCTCCTCACCTGTTGAGTCGTTGGTCAACCTCAACGCGTGGTCGTATGTATGTCAAAGAATTTCGTCATATGCAAGATACACATCAGGACCAGACTTTCTTTTGAAGAGCACAGAAGTTATTTTTCAATGGATGCGTACTAAGTGGATGAGAAATAACAGATTTATTAATAAAAAAATTTGTGTGCAGATTGTGACACGTACATTCTCGTGAACAAATGGCTCCAACTGTTCAACGAAATGTAAAACACATGAAATTTCTTAATTTGGAGATTTAAGAAATTTTATGGAAATGAGAAGAAAATATAGTTTTAAGCATAACTATAAAACTTTCATAATAATCAATAATCTTCCTCGATCACTTTCTTCTGTATGAATAACCCTAATCTAATATTTACTAAATAAAAGGTAGTTAATTAAATCAATTAAATAGAGGCAGTTCTTTAAATCAATTAAATAGAGGCAGTTCTTTAAATCAATTAAATAGAGGCAGTTCTTTAATCAAAAATCAATCGTTGCGTTTGCATAAAATAATAAAATACCCAATGTTAGATTATACCAGCATGACAATGTTAGACGCGCACAGAATATACGGTGTCCTATGATTCGTGAAGCAATCGAAAAGAATGTGACTCTCAATCCAAAAATAATCCAGAAATGTGGGATAAGATTTGTTTTTTAGAGTCTGCGTTTCCAGGATAATCGATTTCGGAAGTCCATTTATCCTGAAACACATTATGTTGATATTTAGAATGTATCTATATGATACATTGAAGTAATTATTTATAATTAAAGTATTATTCTTTTAAGTTACTTAAATTTTTAAATTTTATTTTTGAAACTAAACATCCTATGAATATACTATAAATATAAAAAAGTTTCATCTTATAATTCCCTATAAACTGATATTTTTTTAAAATTCACACCTCTACGCCTCTTAGAAGTTCCAGCAAAAAACGTTCCGCGGTAAAAGGATTAATAAATACGTCAAATGCATCCCTTTTTCTAAGGTGTCGACGTGAAATTAGCCATCGCCCCGTGTAATTATAGATTATGTTCCCGTGTACCTCACGCACGATGAGTGTACACGGGCAAAAATAGTCGCGATTCTAAAACGATTTTGGCTCCGATATGACACTCGGATGACAATGCGCGATTGTTATACTTTGACACCTACGGGTACTATCGGTACTTGAATGAGTCAACGACTTCTCTCATCGATGGCCGATCTATGCGAAGTGATGACCCTGCAGCTTTTCAAGTACGGTATATCTAAATCGGTACGAGGAGCGACGCAGTTGCACGGCTGAATGTTGGGCGAATAATTCCACGTCGGAAAGCGTGGGACGCCAGGGCTAATTCTAATTCTAATTGTCTCCTCGGACAATTTCGATCGTGAATCGGTTTCTGATTGGCACAGGTACACCTGTTGAGTGGTGAGCAAGCTTCGTCTTTCATGTTTCACGCGATGAAAGCTTTAGAGTCTAAAGATTGTTGGTTAGACTGATGAAGTTTAGGCTGATCTTTTTCAGGATTGAAGAAAGTTATTTTCATTTGTTATAATTGCAATTTCAATCTTTTATATACGTGTATAGTTTGGATTCATATTTTTCTTCTGCTTCATATCATTCTTCACATGAATGCATGTATTGAAATAATTTGTGATCAAGGTACTGTTATTCTAATAGTAATATTGTGAAGGTATTTTGATGAAAAGGCAATATTCAGATGCAATAAAGTATTAATTAAAATTGAATATCAAAACATTGAAGAAGCAGTAATTCTCATATTAAAATGTAATAATAATTAGACTGTTGATATTCATTCACTCCTATCAAGTGAACATATAGTTAAACATATGAGGATGACAAATGCAAAAATATCTAAAACACCACCAATAAAATACACAACACCTTTGCAAAACAACACATACTTCCATTCAAATCTTAACTCTTTATTATCTGTATCTGCAATAATATGAATTTCCCTAAACATCCGCGGTCTAACAGTAACAATCTATAGAATATAATAATATAGAAAATATAATTCATCAGTTAACAACTCGTTCGCTAACGAAGCATCCCGTTGGCAGGTGCTTTGAGGAAACGTGGGCGTCCGTGGAGCGGCGGTGGTCGTCGGCTGGTGGTTCCCCTCGGTCGACGAGGACGTGGAACAACGGCGATGACGAGTCCGTCGCCGCGTGTTCCTGGTGGGGGTTGACGATCTAACGCGCACGCGCCCAACCGTCATTTTGACGATGCCATGGAGCCGCCGGCGCGCCATACGAACGACGACGGGTCGCGCACTACGAGTAGGGCGCTGGTCGGCTCCGAAACCCCCGAAGAAGAGACGGAAGAAGAAGAAGAAGGTGGAGTAGGAAGTGGTAGCTGACTACGACGATTTAAATCAATACGACGCAACTTAGCACCAGCCAGTGCATCGAGGCGAAACACACGAAGGTTAGCGAACAACCCGAGGAGTAAACGAATCTCGGCCGAGGGAATCGAGGAATCGTCGAGAGAGCGAGTGAATCCAAGCGGACAGGATGTCTTCAGCGATCGCTAAAGCTTCCAAATACACGTACCGCTCCACCGGCGGTGGTACTGCCGATGTCAGCATCGAATACAGCGCCGACCTCAGCGCTCTCACCAGACTGGAGGTAGGTTACCAAAGAACGGGGCACAGGTAGCCCTTTTTCCATCAAATTCGATTGCAAACCGGGACAGGTATCGCTTCGTTATCATCTGCATCACACTGGTATCGTACATACATTTATTTCAATCGATTTCTCGTTTCTAACCCTTTGCACTCGAAAGGTGACTCTCGGTCACCACTAGGTTTCACGCAGCAAATCTACTAGCAATAATGTTTCTTTAAGTTTCGTTTCTTTGGAAATCGAAGTGTCAAAAGGATTGTCGGTGAAGCAAAGACGACCTGATTCTCAGATCTCAAATTAGTTTGCGATTATGAATCTAAGTTTAGTATACGTGGTAATAGAATGCTAAGAAAGCATCTCGAGCTGCTTGTAGATACCAGAGAAAAAGACCTCCAGTGCAAAGGGCTAACATAGTCCTGGACAGCCTTCACTTTAGACTCATCCCCCATTGCTTTTGTTTTTAATCGTAACGGTCTGGTGTAGACGGAGTAACGAAGCCTTACAGTGCCTAAAAATATTCAAGCTCTCAAGATTTAACGTAACGATTTCTCAAAAACCGTGTTCATTCGGTTATTAAATTGAAAAAGTAGAGAAAGGGAACAGGAGTTCGCAAAGGGCGAAGGTAAATGAAAGCTAACATTGGTGAAATAGAGTGTTCGAATGAATTGAGAGAACATCGAGACCTGTTCAGATATGTTCAATGTAGTCTCGCCAGACTTGAGCACTGTGCTGAGTCTAGAACGTTCCACGAGGCTCTAGAATCTAAAGAGAATTTAAGATGCTCGTTGGGATCATAGAGGAAGATTTAAGAAACCCTCTGGGCGTCCACCAGAAGGAAATCCAGCACGTGACCGTATATGTTCGCCCAGAAGAATACGTCCTGTGAAATCCAATACGTCCAATGGAGAGAGTCCAAGATGTTCGACGGAACCTGTTCGACGAGGGCCCGATGACGCAACCTGCAGGCGACTCTTCGAGATCCTCTCTAGGTCGATTCATTTCGAGGCGACGAGGAAACTCCTAAAAGAGTGATCGAAGCTGGTGCAAAGGAGCAGTGACCGATTTCGCAGTGGGGGACAGTGAGACGCGAGAAAGTTCAGTGACCATAAGGGATATTAGTGCCAACCCTGACGAGGAACGAAAGTGCTACCGTCCCGTGGCTATCGGATTGCTCGTGTACGAAAATAGTCGTGAATATCGGCCCTGAGATCGTGCCTGAACAAACCGGAGTGACATCTTTGTGGCGCTCGCGAAACGCCCTCGAGGTAGACGAACGACCCCGATCGATCCCGAACAAGGAAAACTCGCCTGTGCATTCAAGTAAGATCGTACTTTTTCTGTCGGTTCGAGGTGAACGTTCCCTGGATGCTCGTTAAGAGCCACGGGGACACGAGCTCAGGTTCCGTTGGAAACGACCCCAAAACGGACGCTGCGCGGCGAAGATACTCCTGTTCCCTCGAGGACGAGCCCGTTCTGTGGCCGTCCGTCTTTCCGAAATACCTACAGTCCGCTGTTGGATATTTTCGTCGGCCCATTACGTAAAGCACCCGACCCTCTGCAACCGAGTCCCGTGATATGCTCTAATCCTTCTCTTGCCTCTCATTTCAGGACAAAATCCGCCTGCTGCAGGATGACCTGGAGTCTGAGAGAGAACTGCGCCAGAGGGTGAGTCTCTTAAATGCTCTGTCATGTCCTTGCAACCGTCGCAACTAGGTGAATTAGGTGGAACTCTTGGTCATTCGTAAGGTCTTCCTTGTTGAGGGCTTTTAGATTGTTAACGGAGAGTGCGTATGTCTTTTGAGAGAGATGGGTGGGATTCTTGTTTACCTTAAGGGTAGAATAGGAATTTTGAATGGGTAGCATAGAGAAAAACAGTTGACATAACAGTCTATTAGTAGTCGTTGTTTCAGTAGTAGACAGTGTTAGTATAGTTAGAGATAATTAAACCTCTTGTTTGGTGATTAGATATAAACTGAACGTTTAGAACTTATCTAATTTTGCTTAACCCACACACTGTCATGCAAATTTAAAACGTTTTGCCTTGGGCGCCAAGATTTAATACAGATGTGTAATCTAGGTTACTATTTTGATAATAAAAAGTGATATTAAATTTGTTGTTTTAAAAAGAATATTTACCTTCTTCTTTTGCAATAATTCGTGACTCAAAAGGCTATAAACTTATCCTTTCAGTAATTGCAATCAATTTGAATTACGAGACATCTCCTAGTTAGCTGTGAATGGATCGATCAATATTATTTATAAATACCCAAGCAAGACGATACACTCAATAAATTAAGGGTAAACAACTTTGGAACAGTTACAGGTTAAAGAAAAATGAAATGACCAGACTGAAATTCTATTTTATGCCAAGTGAATTTAATTTAATTACTCTTATCAATAGCAACGTTCCTAAAAGCAAACATGCGACTTCACACTTAATAAATTGAAGATAAACAACCTTCAACCCCTCCTACGGTAAAAAAAGATTTGAATTACTATTACTAGACTGAAAAAGTGAATTTAACCTAATCGACCAGTCCACAAAGTTACTATAACTCATCTATTATTTCAATAGTCTCCTTTCATTTATCGAGTGCTAACAGGCGTACGCGAAGAGTTTTTGTAGGATTGGCGAAGATCGAGTATTTCGCAGGAATAGTGGAGCATCTCCGCCAGAAGCCTCGCGTCTGGTGCGCGCCAGGGGATAAAAATACCGAAACGGCGGTGATAAACGTCAATTTCGAGACTTTATGTAATATGTAGGCATTGTGAATTTTGAAACTGCTACGAAAAAAGCGAGAGTGGCCCGCTCCACCATAGAGTGGGGAGTAGTAGGTCGAAATGTCCAGCTCTCGACTCGCGTCTATTTTTGGGGATGCGCGCCTTTTCAGCGGACGAACCCGCATTCCTTTTTCGTGTACGGCGTACATGTAACGCATCATGTCTAAAAACGAAAACACAAACAATCTTTCAGGACCATCCGTGAAAAAAGAGCGGTCGGCACAAATTTTTACTGGCTCTGATTTGAATATTTGCACGATTTCCTTTTCGGTAAAAATTTGTCTGACCAAGTACACATAATTTTTGAAGTTTTGAGGGTTGTGGATTCACCTCGTTTGCTTCGTGGATTTTAGATGAATGGAAAAATATAAGTATGGGGATCCTATTCGAATGCAGCGTTAAATTTGCATTTAAATTTATAAATTAACAATACTTGCACGATTTCTATTTTATTCAAAAATTTTTCTAACAAAGAACACCTGGATTTTTACAATTTTCTAGATTGTGGATAGAACTAGTTCGTTTCGTGAATTTTAGATGAATGGAAAGATGTAACCGTGGGTATCTCGTTCAAATGGCGCGTTAAATTTAAAAAGAGCATCTCTGGTTTCATTGTTCTGCAAGCCCCACGGAAATCAAATTCATACGTAACGTTCGCCGCAATACGTGACTTGAACCTGTGCCAAAGACGTTCTCCGCGCTTTGGAATCGCAAAAAGTTGCAAATTATGATCGCGTTGAGTTCGCGTTACGTGTTAAGTTGTGTTCGTGTCGTTATTTTGAGAAGAAAACCGTGCAGAGGGTTGGACCGAGTCGTTATGTAACACTGCGAGTAGCCCAATTCCGAAAATTTGTCTTTTCCTCGAAAATACACGTTTGCATTCTCATTTCTTGAAAAAGGGACACTGATCTCTCGCTTGACAAACAACAGCTGTGACAGCAGTCGAGCTATTCGAGCCGTTAATTCTTCCCTCGTATATTTGATTTTCCGAAATAGCCACCGTATATAGGGGAATTGCGATTAAAATAAATTTTGGAATTTTTAAGAATCTGACAAGAATTTATCGTTTAAAGATGAACTACAAATACATTCTACTGTAGGATACAATTAAAATAAATTTTTGAAATTTGAGACAAATATCTAAAGAATTTCCTCGTTCATGGAAAGATTACTTTTGTTATTTACTCAGCTATTGGAATAATAGACACATTCTTCCTTTCCAAATTTAATAGGCACTGTAAAATATTAGCTGTTTACAAACACAACTCTATTGAAGTAAAATAAATTATAAATTTGAAGATTATTATTTTAATAGAGAATAGTTTCTTTTATAAAATGGTAAACCCACAAGTGATGTCTGTTCGTAATGACATCTGGCAAAATGACACTACAGATATATATTAAAATAAATATCAGAGAAAAATTAATTAAATTCTAATTTATATTCTGAAATACATTATTTTACATTAGAATTATTAAACCTCTTGTGTATAATGCACCTTTTTAATTTAATATAACAGACAACAAAAATATTTTGATTACTCAAAGAAATAATTCAAGACCGAGGAGGTTAAGTAATCTTCTAAATTGATGTTTTCATAGTAAAATTATAATCTGAAAATTCCATAACAACTATTGAAGAAAAGAATTCAAAACTGAAAAAGTGTTAAGTTATCTTCTAAATGAGTGTTCTTCTTGCAAAAGAATAATTTTTTAAAATCCAATAACATCAATTCCATCTCAACCAACGCGAAGAACACAAAGAATATTTTGTTTACTAACAAGAAAAGAATTCAAAACTGAAGAAGTGTTAGGTAATCGTGTAAATCAGCGTGTTTATTGCGAAAAAATCTTCCAGGAAGTGCGTATTCTTACGCAATAAATGCAACGAGCTATGGAGAACATGGTGGTTTCCGGCGTACGGACAGTTATGGCGATGTCGCGCGTCTATCTTTTCTCGATAAACGCCTCGTTTGTAATATGAATAAAGCTCCCGATATAGAGCCAGTCCGTCCGGAATTAGATCGTTCTATTCGCGGTCCGAAGAAACCTGACGTCAAGCTTGCACCGAGCCGTTCGCGTCGTTCCTTGAGGCCTCTTTCCAAAACAATGCCGCGCATCTCGATTACACTCAACAGACATCAACGTGTTCCGACAGTGCTCTTCTATCTTCCTGCAATCAATTCGTATCTCGAGAAATGATGTAAACGAGGATATGTTTATGTACGTCTTCACTCGTTTACGATGGCTATGTTTGATGGCAATAATAACGATAATAATACGATTTTATCGTAGGAAGATTGTATACACTAGGATTGTCAAAGACAGGGTAGAGTTAGATGGATCACGTGTATTTGGATGTTGATCATTTACAATTTCCATAGGATTTTTATATTTATTTTTACTAACCTTTTTTGTGTAACTATTTAAGATGTCTATAAATGTATATTTTATTGTAGCAAGATTGTATATATTAGGATTGCCAACGATAGGGTATGGTTAGGTGAATCACGTTTATTTTGTAGTTTTTGATTTACGTTCGAACATAAATTCGTATACACTGCACTATGACAGTATTTGTATTGAACGACATACTAACATTTTGTTTACTTGGCACGTAACTTGGCAGATCGAACGCGAGCGCGCTGATTTGAGCGTGCAAGTCATCCAGCTGTCCGAACGTCTCGAAGAGGCAGAGGGTGGCGCCGAATCTCAAGTAAGTACAACAAATAATGCGTAACCAAAACAGTGATTTAAAAAGTCGATCTCCATAACCCTTTCATTTCCAAGTTGATTGATTGATTTTTATTTCTTTTTTTTTTCAATAATTCCGAACCTATCACTTTAAGAATACAATGGGAATGAAAGGGTTCAGACATACGAGAGAACTTTCGTGAAATTCCCTTCAACGTTATCAGAAAATTAATTGTTACTTTTCAAATGGAACTCTGCAGTTCGAGATCAACAAGAAGAGGGACACGGAACTGGCCAAGTTGCGCAAACTACTCGAAGATGTTCATCTTGAGAGCGAGGAGACTGCGCATCTTCTGCGCAAAAAACACCAGGAGGTTGTTGTCGACTTCCAGGATCAAATCGATCAACTTGCAAAAGCACGCGCCAGGTCAGTAAAATAATCGACACATCATTTTTCACTCGTCCAAGTTCACAACTAGACCGCGAGTATTTATGCACAATTTATATTTTTGTATATACAAATGATGAGCGGAAACGTCGGTTAAAATTTGTTTTGTCTTCTAAATATCGTAACGTATATTTTATAAATAATAATAAGGGTATGTCAAGAAATAGGAGCAAACAATCAATTTATAGGTTTCACAACTTCATGATAATAGTAGAAATATATAAGATATCAAGGACTAATAACAAAGAAATCAATTTGTTAATTTTATATCTACATAATAATCGGCACATGAAATGGTCTAGATGAAAAGCAAAAGTAATCATTCATAAATATCACAGCTTTATAATTTCACAATACAGTAACGAAAACGTTCAAGGAACGGAAAATTGTGTTCCAAATTGTTGGAGGACGTTTACATTACGGAAATGGCGCGGATAAGAGTTCGAAAGCAGGTATCAAAGCAAAGCACTATAACATTCTGATTTCGACGGAAGCTAAACACGCCAACGAATCGCGCACGAATTCCTCGATACCAAACGAACGAAATCGGAACACCAATAAACCGTGGTTAATTATATACACTTGTGAAAATAAAATCGCGGCCTCGGTATGCTCGCGCACGCGATCCTCCTCCCCTTTGAGGTCAAAGCGCGCGAAGCGTCAATAAATAATCCACCGGAAGTCCAAAGGTACGTCAAAACCGAATTTCGTTTCGAGTAGAACAAAAACCATAGAAACTAAATGACAGATAATTAATAGAGAAATCTATTCGTGGCCAAAACTTGAATGTACTGATAGTAAACAAATGTCAAATGTATGCTCCTTTAAACAACACAAACGTAGAGCCTACGTACGTAGACTTTACACATGGAATGGTGCTGTTGGAAAATAACTACATGAACACATTAACGTTTCAATTCTAAACAAAAATTCTTATAAAATTCATTAAGAAAAATTTTAAATCATATTCTAATTTTAAATTTTCTTATGGAGACATTTAATACCTCTGCAAACTCAACCACTTAAAACTTATCTCAAACATTAATAAATTCATAAATACTCTAACGGAATGGAAGTCCAATTTGAAACATAATATGGTCTATTACAAACATTTGTTTAGTAAATAGTAGCATAATCAATAATTAAAACTATCTAGGAAAATACAACTATTTACTTAGGAGAGTCTAAACGCGAGGTCGAAATTTTTAAAGAGAAGTAAACAAATGCTTGTAAGAGACCACTTCAATCATTAAATTTAGTCAAATTTGGTATAAGAAGACAGTTTCGAATAGTACAGTCAGCCAATAAATTATCGGAGCCACTGAATGGAGGGAAATAGTTTTCAGTCTTACGGAAAGAATGCCAATTTTGAAGCTGGCAGCGAATAGTCACAGTCACGCAGCCAGTATAGTCGTAGTCATTCAATTATAGATAGAGGTTGCCCGTATTGGACCACTTTGGACATTTTCTTGAATTGAACTATTTCTAACAAATCGAAAATATTCTTATTTATATTGTTCTGCATGGAATGAAATTTAACACACACCAGATGATAATTATTCAAAGTATTTTTTACTTACTTATTAGAAATATTGAAAGTGAAGTTGTCAGTCAATATTCGTCTAAGTATCATTCAGATGTTTTCGTTATTCAACAAGTTTCAAGAAACCTGTTCTCTCCTGAATGCGCTAAGAATTAGATCAGCGACAGTGATTCATAAGTACACGAATAACCAAGATGTTATTTGTGTTCCTCGAAATAAAATAAAATTCACTAAACAGAGAGTTGAAAATACGATAAAATTTACTCGACAGAGAGTTACAATTACAATATTCTCTATACATATTCTCTAGAGGGCAGATTTTTTAAAAATTGTTTAAAGAATTGGATGATTCGTGAACACAAAAGTAACCAAGAAATAATTTCTGTTCCTAAAGGCAAAATGAAATTCATTCCACAGATAGTTAAAAATACAATATTCTCTCTAGACCTATTCCAGAGATCAGATTTTCCAGAATCGTTTAAAAAGATGAAACGAGGAAAAATATGGTGGAGAAGGGTGATTCACGGCGAGTCGCCTCGTTAATTATAGCGAACATCGCGAGGAACGAAAGCGTATTCGAAAATTGCGGGAATTATGCTTGGCGATACTGGCCACTGGCCAAACAACCAACTTACTTGCACCTGAAATACGCGCAGACTCGTTCCCTCGGCTTTTCTAAACATAACCCGCGTCCTTTCCGACGTCCCGGCGCCCCGACGCGCGATACCCGCGCTACAAGGACGCCTCCGCTTCGAAAATTCACTGAGCTGTCATCGAGACGCCGTCTGTTATCTAATTGATCCCTACCTCTTCCGAGAAACTCGTTTACTCTGATTTTGTTAATGTGACATTCATTACGCAACCATCTTGCGCAAATTCCGAAGGGAAGAGAAAATGGAGATGGGAAATAGTTTACCCCATTTTCTCCAGGAATTTGAATAGCAATATTCAAAGCAGAACCATAATAGGACACAAAGAGAATTTGGTTGTTATATAAAAATTTGGAACTATTACGAGAATTTTTAAATTAGAAAATAGAATATTGATATAGATAAAACTGTAGGGTGGGAGGAGGCAGAATTGACCTACTCTTTCCTTTTCTCGTCCTTTGTCTACATAAACTTTGTTAGTTTACCTCTCGCGTAATAACAAAACGAAGATAAAACGAAGAAATGGAACAGTTCCCTCGATCGTACGAAACTTTAGTGCTTTCCTTCATCGTAATTATGGACACAATGTATCCACTCCTTTTTTACTTGAGCCTCCTTGACTTCGTTTCCTCTTTGTCTATTGCATACTTTTCTTGCAGAAAAATACCGCTCGAAATAATTGAAGGACCACTTGCATGATTAAATGGGTCACAAGTCACGAAGGCATATAAGTCCCTGTGTATCTTAATGTGTTTCATAAATTAGACATTTTACAAAAATATTAATATTATTGTTATTAAATTGTACGTGAGTGGGGATATATATACTTGAGAATTAAAAATAAAATTAGAATTACTCACAAAGGTAGTCCCCAACTCTATAATAATATCATATTATTGATATTCAATCATTTTTAAAGTTTAATTAACCAATTCTAATTTATTTTTATCCGTGGAAGTAGTAAGGAGAATGAATCTACCCAATATCAATGTTTATTTTATAGAAACTTATGTAGTATCTATTTGATTGAATCCTGCACTATACCGTAAAATTATTAAAATTCATACTCAAATGACAACATTTTTCTGTTTCATTGCTCTTTTGTCAAATAAAACATAGGAATAACTCTTTCAACCTTAAAAAATTCCGAAAAAATTCCTCTTTCCATCTGGTATCGAGCTATAATCATTCCCTCCGAAAACCTGCCTGCATTTGACGTATTTAATTTCGTCCCCATCCGTCATGCAATTTTCCTTCCACAAACATCGAACGAACGCAAAGCAAAAAGACGAAATAATTTATCTACGCGTCCCCAACTTTCAAGATTCCTTCCGAACATAATTTCGCAGTCTCTGTAAAGTACCAGAAACAAGCTGTCACAAGTTTTAGCTGAAATTGAATATCAGGAGTCGCCGTTCCAAGCGTAGCTCTCAGCGAAAGCAATTACGACATTTATACGTCAACAGCGCCACGGCTAAGTAACAGTTAATTGCCTCTTAATATTTCAACTAGGAAAATAGAACACTCTTGAACGTCTTAATGGCGTCCAGGAATAATAAATGAAAAATGAGTTCCAGGCGAGACCCTTTCGCGGCTGCCCCTCTCGAGAAGCTGGAAATTACTGTTCCTCGTTCTTTTCTCGTTTCAATTACATTCTTGGCAAAAGAAGTGGAAGAAACGAATGTCAGGAGTTCGAGAATACGTGGCGCAGAAAAAGTTTCCACCTGTTGGCACGAGAAGGGGGCGTTTTAAACGCTTTTAAAACAGACCTGTCCTACTTCTCAAGTTGCTTGCCTCGATCTCTTCGTCGCGCTGCTCTGCCACCTTGTTATTTCCTTGATCTCTGTATTTTATTATTCCCTTCTTGCCTTTAGTACTACCTTTTAAATTATGGAACGTCCAGAAATGAGAAAGACTTTATTTGACGAATGAAAACTATAATATAAACCTTTTTACGCGTTTTATTTGTTACACAGAGTTTGTTCTGTATTTCAAATTTTAATTTGGTCTCTTCTTATTTTTTTAACTTTGAAATTATGACAATTTTGTTCGACTGTGAATCTTGTTGCTTTTGGCTCGAGAAACTCGTGTTAAATTCATCTCTTGATATAGAACGATAACATTTTCGATGCTATTAGCGTTAAAAGCCTAGTAGACCACTGAGATGAGCACAATTTTATGAGAATAATGGATGACAAAAAAATGATATTTTGTGACGTTTATTCGACTGAATAGTTTCTTTATTGAATTCTATGATTGACGGATTGAAACGCAATTGAATACATAATTAATAGTAACATCGACATTCTAATTGAAAATAACAAAAGATAGATACGTAATATTAAGTACTATATTTTAAGATAACAGATTTTGTAAATATTTTGAATAGTTACATTTCTACTTCTTCATTATGAAACACTTAATTTACGATTCAGACATAAGCTTCTATTCTACAAATGGCGACTAAAGAGCTGTTCCCTTTTTATTCGATATTCGTGTCTAGACTCAAACTTTGCCAAAATATCGAGTGATCTAAATTTCTGTGGTCACACTTACTATGCATAAACATAATTTACTGAAGGCCTGATCACTCATGAGCAACCACAACACATAAGAAGTTAAAAATTTATAACTTGATATAGAAGTAGAAGTTGGAAGGAGTAGTGGACCGTATTGGGCCAGTCAGACTTCGTAAACTCTAAGAGGAACAGCCTATTTGTAAACAATACTACTTACAGAAGTCCACGTTTTATTTATTTATGGTAATATGAACTTATGGTATTCGTGTAAATCTAAGACTAATTATTTAAATTCTAATAAACAATATATAATATAACATTGTTCCAAATTTTCAAAATATAGATTTAACATAAATGATTGTTTTTAGATATAGAATAGAAACTGGATGTTTAAGTGATATTTTGAATTGCTCTTTATTTTCGTCGCAGTTCAACCGCGTCCACTTTCGCACCTGTGTTTGTCACTCTTTCAAGTTTTTCTTCGTTTCGTTTTGGATGTTTCGCCACTTCTCACCTCGCGACTTTCTTTTCGTCGCAATGGCCCCTCTGCTCCTTTTTCAACCCCTCCACTCCTCGTTCCGCCTCACTCGGTCTTCCGTTTTTATTCTGCTGGTCTCTCTCTCCGCGGATCGTTTTGCTTGCTCGGCCGACTACTCGGCTTATGACTATTTTTAACCGTGCGAGTCGCACGGCAATCCACAACCCCGTGTTACCGCGCCATATTAGTACAGGCGACCAGCCCAGATCCCCACTATCCTCGGAATCGGCCGACACCTTACACCCTCTGTTACGTGTAGGTGGACTGCATCGATATCGCGATCTCTAGCCCTCTCTCTTTCGTACTTCTCTCTCCTTGTTTACATGACTCGATATCCACGTGCTAAAGGACTACACGCAGATGGGACACCCTTCACTTTTTTTTTCTTTTTCTATTCAATTTGGATATAAATCCTCTATTTCTATCTATTATGCTTATGCTATTATATTTCTATCTATTATATTTTTATCTAGTAGTATATTGACATATCTATGTCTCTATTCTATATCTCAAGACTGACATTTATGTTAAATCCATATTTTGGAAATTTGGAATAATGTTGTATTATATATTGGTCATTGACATTTAAATAATTAGTCTTAGATTTACATAGATTTACTATAAGTTCATGTTGCCATAAGTAAGTAGAATTTGGACTTCGTTAAGTAGTTTTGTTTACAAATAGGGATAGAGTTTACAAAGTCTGACTATGATGTCTGGCCCAATACGGCCCACTACTCCTTGCACCTTCTACTTCTATATCAAGTGACAAGTTTTTAACTTCTTATGTGTTATGGTTACCTATGATCGATCAGGCCTTCAGTAAATTATGTTTATGCATAGTAAACGTAACTAGAGGAGTTTAGATCACCCGATATATTGGCAAAATTTGAGTCTAGACACAAATTTTAAATATCGAAGAGGAACAAGTCGTTAATCGTCATTCATAGAATAGAAACTTGTGTTTCAATTGTAAATTAAGTATTTCATAATGAAGAAGTAGCAATGTAACTATTCAAAGTATTTACAAAATCTCCACAATACTTAATAATTCAATGAAATATGTCAAAAAAAAGAACCCAATATATATCCCTTATCAAACGTAAATGACACTTTATCTCGAATCATGAGCAAAGAAAAAAACGCCAATGGAAATCTGGCTGCGTTACAGAAAATAATCTGTAAGTACGCCAATGAATGTTGTCGAGCGCTTCTAGGAAAACATATGCCAGATGGATGCGGGTGCAGTTACCGTTGTTTCTCGGAATTTCGCGTATGTTTTCCAGGAACATAGTGGGCCACAATATTTACGTAGGTCATCCTTTAATTCATTTTAGTCGACGAACTAGGGAACTTTCAAACAAAAACTTTCTAACGATTCTAACAAAATGCAAATTGAAGGGCGAAATTTCTGCTATCTAATTAACGTTTGTCTATTATTTGTACTGAAGGGAAAATATAATTACGGTTTAATAGTTGATGAGGAAATCAACTTATTACAGTTTATTTACAGTTTATTCCTTACTAAATATTAAAGAGCATAAATCTAAATATTTTACTAGAAAGTATTACTTTTAAGAATTCTGTCAACAATTGGTTCATGATTTTTCAGGGCTGACAAAGAAAAATCGAAATTCCAACAGGAGGTTTACGAACTCCTCGCTCAGCTGGACAATGTCACCAAAGAAAAGGTGATGTCGATAAAGACAGTGGAGAAGCTCGAATTCCACGTGGCCGAGCTCAATGTGAAAATTGAAGAATTGAACCGTACCATCGTTGACATCACCAGCCACAAAACTAGGCTCTCCCAAGAAAACATTGAATTAACGAAGGAAGTGCAAGACTTGAAGGTACGTGAGATTTTTATTCATTCTCTTCTACCTTTGATATAATTACATTCTTATTACTTTTAAATTATTTTCATTGATTGCATTATTGACATCGTAGGTCAACATCGAGAACGTGGTATACTTGAGGACGCAAATCGCAGGACAACTAGAGGACGCTCGTCGTCGTCTCGAAGATGAAGATCGTCGTCGTGCATTGGTCGAAGCCTCCTTACATCAGGTAAACATTTTTGAATTTTTTATAAAAATAACATGACCCAACTATTGCGGACCATTAATTTCTTCGGTAATCAGAACAATAATATAATACAATACGTTTAATCCTAGAGAAGCTAAAATTAACATAAGTTGTGATGATTGTTTGCAGGTCGAGTCGGAATTGGAATCCGTTCGTATTCAATTGGAAGAAGAATCTGAAGCACGTTTGGACATTGAACGTCAGTTGGTCAAGGCCAACGGCGAAGTACAAATTTGGAGATCGAAATACGAAACCGAAGCTAATGCTCGCGCCGAAGAGGTAACCGCCATTAGAAAAGAAATAGCTAGAAGATAAACACGATTAAAGTTATCATCTTCATCTTTAATTATATTCACGATAAAATAGAAAAGAAGAACAAATGTTTCAAGTTTAATTTATATTTTACTGATAGACAGAATAATAGTAACATGTTCTGGAATTTTACAGGTAGAGGAATTGCGTCGCAAGTACAGCGCACGTATTCAGGAACAGGAAGAACAAATTGAAACACTGCTTGTCAAGATCAACAACCTCGAGAAACAAAAATCGCGCTTACAGTCTGAAGTGGAAGTCCTGATTATCGACTTGGAGAAGGTGTGTTTGCTATCTTTACATTCTTAAATTATACCTCTTCTTTAGTATATTATAGTACCAAAATATTTCGACTTATACTCGTAATACGCCTAAATACGTCGAAAGATTAATCTCGAATCTTATCTTCTTCGCCAAATTACATAAATAATAATTAATCCTTCGATTGTTTGTTTTGCATCTATGGATAACTTTTCTACCTTCTGGTAAGGACTCAAAAATGAATATAATTACAAAGTGCAACTTGGTCATTCGACTAGCATTTTGCAGAGATTTATGAACGACTCGATGAATTTGTTTAAAGGCCAATGGAACAGCTCGGGAGCTGCAGAAACGCGTAGAACAATTGGAGAAGATCAATGTTGAACTGAAGGCTCGTTTCGATGAAAGCGTGGCGATGTACGAGCAGAGCCAGCGCGATCTTCGCAACAAACAACAGGAACTCCAACGCACCAATGCTGAACTCGACAAAACTCGCGAGATAAAGGACCAACTGGCTCGTGAGAACAAGAAATTGACAGGTGCGTAAACACGAAAGTATCATTTAGAACCACCAAATCAGAAGCTGTTGCCTTTCCCATTAAGATTGCTACACGTCGTAAAAAGTAATTAAAATGCATTGTTCGCGTATTCTCCTAGACAATTTTAATAGAACTAATTAATGTTTCGTAATAATGTAAACGAACGAAAACTATCCCATTGTTACAGATGACTTGGGTGATGCCAAGAACCAGCTGGCCGACATGAACCGCAGACTTCACGAACTGGAACTCGAACTTCGTCGTCTGGAGAACGAAAGGGAAGAGCTGGCTGCCGCCTACAAGGAAGCTGAAGCTGTAAGCACAAGCTCATTTGCATGAATACATTAATCACACGCTCTTCCAGAAATAACGATAGTCCAGAAATATATTAAATTAATACCGTGCCTCTAGCTTAATGTAAATTTATTAAGTAAATCCATATAAGTAGATAACCTGAATCTCAACCTGATGGTCACTAGAATGTATCTGTGATATACCAAAAATATAATACGAGTGTACTTAATTGTATTATATAATACAAATGTATAAAGACACTGCTCGAAATTTATGTAGAGTTATAAAGTGAGGAATACGGAATAGTGCCTGATGAATTGTATAAATTTCAGGGCCGCAAGATCGAGGAACAGCGTTCTCAGAGACTGGCCGCTGAATTGACTCAGATGCGTCACGATTATGAACGTCGCCTGACAGAGAAGGACGAAGAAATTGAAATCATCCGGTAAGTACCTGAATTGGTTTCATATTTTTCTTCCTAATCCTCGATATCAAAGAAATCCCTGCAATGTTTCCATTTTTACGAGGTCATTTACACGAAGAAAGTTTTGAAAAACTATTTCTTTCATTAAAATTGATTCAATTTAAAAGGTGTGTGAAGATAAATTTCAAGATCTTTGAGTAACAATTTCAGTACGGTATTCCCTTTTTCTGTCCCAAATATCAAACAATTAAATGGATATAATTATATTTCTTCTAATTATTAATTCCTACACTGTTTCCATTATTATGCTGCAATTCACGCAATGAGACTTTTGAAATCGAATTTTTGAAAATTAGCCTTATGGTCAATATATACATAGAGATATGAAAGCAAAATTTCTACGTCTTTGAATTGCGATTTCAACTAAAAGATTCGTCCATTTGCAATACTATGTATCAACTTTAATATCGTATTTGCAAATGGCGAATCGCATTACATAACTCGTACTAAAGTTAGCTTCTACTCGAGACAGACTGGTCGATACATGTTTCGTTTAAATAATTTAACAGGATTTGGGTATAGCATTACTCCAAAAATACACAAACCTTTGCATGGTATTGAAATAATTATTAAATTAAAAATGTATATAGACGTACATTATTTATATGAAATTTAAAGAGTATAAATGTTGAGCTATGTCTGTTCACATTTTTCGAACTTGAATTGACTGAATACAATTTACAATAGAAATATTCTCATAATCATCATCAATCTTCAATCATAGATTTTTGCCCACACAATCATACCTCTGCATATTTCAATTATGCTTGCCGTCAGATCAAATGCAAATGTCTGAAATAAATCACTAAAACCAAAAAGTACGAATTTTTAGCAGCTCAGTCGCAATCTGTGATGCGTTCGATTTTATTTCCGGTACAACCACTGAGCGTGACGTGTCGCTCTAATAATAAAACAAGTTAATTTTATCTCGATCAAGTTTGTCATCGATCGATTAATCACTCTAGGTGTTTCCCGATCGGTCAGACGTTCAAGGGTGTATCCTGACGCGTTCTAATTATGTATTTATATGCGCAACATACACAAAACCCCCTGATTGCCAAGAACGAATAGTCATGCAGTGAGAATGATGCGCGATGACTTTTTTTCTTGGCTTCTTTCATCGTCGACGCAACATAGATCGCTCGATATATCGATTGTATCACTGTGAATGGACTTCGCGAAGTAGCTTCGACGACATGTTATTAAAAATAATATTGCGAAAAAGAAAATATTATCAATATCAATGAAAGTAAAAGGATCGATTAATTGCAATTTTATATTAAATAATTATTACAAATTTTTGAAATTCACGATGACAATGTCTTAGTTTCTTGAAGTTAAAGTTTTAGTTTTTTAATGAAGAATGAACAAGTGATTTGTTGATGAATCGTGGACTCAGGAATAAGTTGAAAGTGAAAGGGAATATTATTTTTCTCGTGGAACAATTTTACGCGAGTGATGTGATATTAGAAGTTGAATTGGATTGAAGGGAAAAACTTATGAAACTTAAGAACGGAATATTTTCATATGCCAATTTATCGTCCTGATGCTTTAATAATATTATACATACAACTGATTTTGAAGCAAACCAACTTGAACGAGTCACCAACGAATGCTATAATAAAATTCCGAGAATAAGTGTAAATGTGCGCTGAGACCAGTAAGAAATACATTCCAGATTTTGGTGAGAGATAAACAATAGCAATTGGAAGCTTCCAGTGAAATAATAGAGACAGTGAATTCAGTGACACGGTTCGAGTCATTAATGAAAGCCCGTAACGTCGACACGCAACCGGGCTATTAATAAACCATCGCGCAAAACCGATCAACCGCGATCCAATTATTACCGGGAGGTGCTGATTGGCCGTCCTCAATGTGGCAACCGTAAGAAAAAGCTACAAAAGATACCACCGCACTCGATCGGCCCAATTTTTCTCGACCGTTTCGATGCAACTGTCATCTCCGACCATCCGACTATGTCAAATCTGTGAGTAAAATGAGCTGCACGAACAATTAAATAATAATTCTCGGTGATAATACTCCTTAAATAATTTTTTCACAAAAATAGACGTTTTTAACAAATTCCATAGTACTCCGCAAAAAAAAGAAGACATTAACCCTCTCGCCCCGAAAAATAAAAAATAAAATATTGCGCGTGGAAAGGAGACCTCTGAAAGTATATAATAATTTCTATTCAAGGTAAAAGTTGGATGACAAATTAACATACCCACACTCGAAAAAAGCAAACGAAATTCGAAGTGGTTAAAGAAAGTTACGAGGAAAGTAGTACTCTTTGAATCAGAAACAAGAGACACAGTGGCTAGACCTGATCCACGTGAGAAAACGAAAGGGAGCGAGAGCATCATAGTGCTCCAGAACAAACGAAAATAAAAGGGCTACTAGTGATAACTGTGTCCTAACTCACAAAAATCTGAGAAAACGAAAGAGAGTGGGAGCACCAAGGTGCCCCAAAAACGAACGAAAACAAACGCCATCTTAAATTCCTGATAAAAGGAACAAAACTGTTCCAATTGAAGATCAAGAAACATCACTTATACTCTATAAAAATCACCTCTTATTTTAGGTGATAAAACACGCGTTGTTCCTAAGAGTGACAAAGACCCCAACACAACAAACTTCTTCAACTGACTCTTCCATTAAAGGAACAAAACTCTCCCAGATTAAAAATCAAGAAAAAGGAATAAAAATCACACAAAGACCCTTATTATTTTGGGGCCATAAAATTCGTGTTCCATCAAACATAACAAAATGGCAGGTGTCTTGCCGCCCATGTACGTGCCATCAGAGCCAAAGTGGAAGCACTGGCCCACCTACATCTACGACATGAACTACAATTACGGAATCAACTTCTACCAACCAATGATCGACTATATAGACAGGAAAGGGAGGACCTCGACGGCGTTGGACTATCGGTACATGAGACTGATAGAGCCACCAGAGTTGCCCTGGTCGGATGGCAGGGCTCTATGGGAGAGCCGACCTGTGGAACCGTACACGACACGTGAACTAGTTCAGCACGCGATCGACGCGGAGGATCAGGCCAGGGAACACCTGTCGCGCTTCAAGGTACGAGGAAAAATAAAAACAAACGATAGGAGAGCGAAAGCTGGGCCGAGAAACGCGGACAATTCATTTCTTAGCCGTCGTGCGACTTGACGACTGCCTGACCTTTTCGGTTTCTAAATTTGGCGCCACGGAAGTGGCTGGCTTCTCGCGTGGACCACCAAGCTGTACGTGGCGTTTTCCAACGGGAGATTTACGGCTTGGAGGTTAACGACGTGTAGTAGTTTCGATGAGGGATGTCGTGGTTCTCGAGATCGGTGGTTCGTTAGGCTTTTAGAGAGAGGAGTCTGTTTTGTGTAGCACTGTCTGCGTGGGAGGAGGCCTAATTTAATTTTGGGGGAACCGTGGTGGGAGTATGCTTTGTGGATGTTCACCTGTGGCGAGGTTGATTAGGAAGAGAGGGGGTTGTGGGGTGTAGGAGACATGTGCACATTTGTGGAATGGTAGATTAGAGTGATTTATGTAGGTGATACTTGGATGTATGCTTCGGTGATTGAATCCAAAAGGAGAATTTTTGAGGATTTTACAAAATAATTGAATTAAAAGTTGAAAATTTACATGTACAACATACGTGAACGATGTTGACGTTTAAGTGTCCACTCATGTTTGGTTTAACAGTATTTTTTTATTAGAAAAACAAAATCCTCAAGCCCTCTTGGAATATCCTCAGACAGCACAGAAACCGACAAACACGCTTCTCTACATACACAAATTCAAATCAATTTTCTCCACAATGTTGGTCTCAGACCCCCATAAATCAGAAATATCTAAACATAAAGCAACACAGAAACCAACAAACACACCTACACACCTTTCTACATTTTAACCCATTCACAGCCAACTACAAGATGTCTCGTAAATTGCGCTACAAGTTTAGATTGATTGCAATTGGACAGTGAATATTTGTATTGCCGTTTAAAAATATAAATAATAATAAATACGATACGGTTATAATATATTAATTATATATCTTGGCACCCAGGGCAAGACGCTCTAAATATGCCTGGCAGTGAACGGGTTAAACCAATTTTCCCTACAAAGTTGGTCTCGAACCAGCGCAAATCATCCAGAAATACCAACAATCGAACAGTCAACAAGGCTCCACAAAAGCAGAAATCACTCAAACCCCAAAGGACCAAAATAGAAAGAGGTTATTTCACTTTCGATAGCATTCGCGACTCCTCTCGTTCTAACAGCTTTCAGCGTCACCACGTCGTCCCCTCCCCATCAAAGATTAATTTAGGAGCCGCAGCACGCGAAATCCCCGCTGTAAATTCAACGAGCAGCCGCGAAGCGGAAATTCCTGATCGCCATTGTCATTAATAAAACGCCGGCTACACGGCCGCAGTTGACAATTCGTGTACGTCGAACGATGACAATAAAAATATCGAGCGCACCCTCGTCGTTGGCAGCCGATTATTTGGATCGTTCGTCGAGGAACTGATGAGGAACGGGCGTCTGCCAAATCGCACGTAGCGCTTACATTAAAAATCCATCTTGCGTCTCACCCGGTGGGGAAGCTAGCGGTCGGCTAGCATCTCGGATTGGCAGTCGTGCCCGAGTCTCTAGAGAGAGTCGATCTAGTGCTACGGTCACTTTCGAATTCTGGACCGCCGCGGCTAAGTTTAGGCTCAGCTCGGTGAACGGAGCACGCTCGACGGAAAGACCTTCCTAAGGTTGCGAGCCAGGGTGGTCCTCACTAGGGGTCCTTATAGGGGTTAACGTTGTCTCCATGCTTTTTGCCGCACCCCCCAACGAAAATTGTGACGCCTGGCGAGGAAACGAGTCGGACGTTTAGTGTCGTTGGTTGATATGTCGGTCTCCGTGTCACGTATGTATATGGCTGACAGGGATTTTTCAATAAGGGCAGCAAGAGATTAACTTTTGCAGGTGAGATGTTGAGGGAAAGAAGTTTGGGTAGATTTTGTGAGTTCGGGGAAGTTAATATGTTGACCTCTACGTCATCATAATATGGCTGACAGAGCTTTTCATTCGGGAATTAAAAAGATTAATTTTAGAGGCAAGAAGTTGAAGATAGTAAATGTAAAGAGGATTCATGATTCTCCAATGACGGAGTAAATGATTAACTCTAGACGTGTGATGTTGAAGAAATTAAGTTTGGGTAGATTCTGTGAGTTTGGGGAAGCTAATATGTTGACTTGTACGTCACCTATATGTGGGTGACAAAGCTTTTCCACTAGGGATGAAAAAATTAGCTCTACCGGTGAGTTTCTGAAGAAGATAGATTTGGATGAGATTTGTGAGTTTAGGGGATGTTAACACGTTGACCTCTGTGTCGTCTTTACATGACCGACAGGGCTTTTCATTGAGGAATTAATTTTAGAGTTAAGAAGTTGAATGTTGAACCCATTTTTTAAAAGATTTGAACTGCCATAGAAGAATAGGAGAGAATAGTGCATATAGAGTCAAGATCACTCCAAGGGCATAGTATTATACTTCACTGAATTAACCTTGACTAGTTTGTCATCGTACTATAACATTAAAAATGGTGTCATTTAAAAATACGTACATGACATTTAAATAATCTTGAAGATAATATCGAACGAAGAATTAAGCAAAATTAAGTAAAGTATTTTAATACAGTATACTTAACCTAAAACTACTAATTTCAAAAATACTCAGCTGCTAATCTATTACTATTTCACCTTGATTGATCTTGGACGGCCTTAAATCTTAATTCAATAGACTCAGTATACATAATAAATTCTTCTCTTTGGCAGTTTTTACTTTTAACAATTCATTATTTCGAATACAATGTAGACCAGGGGTTAGATGTATTCCAATAGACCAATGTATACATTGAGAAGGCACTGTGAACCACAGTCATCTCAAACATCTCGAAGCAAAGAAAGATGGAGACACACCACGTCAATTAATTTCAATGCAACAACCAACAAACCCCTAAATACTCTAACAAAAACCATTTCCTCGCCAAGCGTCAGAATTTTAGGGGGTGCGGCAAAAACACCCTGAAAATCGGTAAACAAGGACCACCCGTTATCACGCGTTCGCGAAAATCACGGCCCGTTGTTCCTCTCCCGCGCGTATGTTTGTGCACCGCCTATACCAGAGGCCCGAAACTGAAAATCTCTCGTGTCTCATCCAAAGATAGCGAATCGTTCGGACTTCAGCTTGTCGAAGACAGCGCAAGCCAGCCACGTGACCAGGGAGGTACTTCCGCGAAGATTAGAGGGCTACACTAGATTGCATTCATTCCCTTTGTTCGTGGAGAGCGCGCGTGTTAGGAGCCAAGCCAGACAGATCCAACGCGACATGGCGTCCATCAATCTCCAAGCCTTGAAGGAGGTGCAGGCCCTGTCCGAATCGCAGAGAACCCTCGATCGCAACAAGAGCCTACGAGGCAAATCCGCCAGGGCGATCGAGTTCCAATTAACCGCGGACGCTCTGAGAAACCTGGCCACCAGCCAGCAACTGGCTGATATCAGGAAGTATCAGATGGAGAGGTCCATGTGGGACGGCAGGGAAACGCATCTGAAGTTGCTGGAGCAGAGGACCAAAGATTTGCTGGAGAACAGGACCAGAGATCTGTTGGACGAGGAGAGGCTCACGGCACCTTTGAACAGCCTCAGCAGGGAGCTGAGAGGATACGAGCAGAAATCCAGCAACTATTTCCTAGACCAGAGGTACCGAGACCCGACGAGACCGAGACGGTTGTACGGGTGCCTGGGATAGGGCGATGTTTTCTATCGATTGCGACGTGGATTCGCGTAGATTTAAGTGTGTAGTTGTGGGTAAGAGCTATGTGACACGGAGAAACGAGGAATAAAATAAATGAGAGACGTTCGATGTTCGATTCGTTTGATTCGCTGGATGGTGATCCGGTGTATGTTGGATCTGGGATGTTGAGACGATTATGTCGTCGATGATATTTTTTGTGGAAGATCCTGTTTCTAGGGAATTTTTATTATGCTTTTGGATAGAGTAGATATGGATTTTTACTTTCTAGGTTCGATTGAAACGTCTGACGACGTGGATGCGAAATTTTGAAATGATGTGCATAATTTTCTATGTAGAATGGCTGTGTCTTTATTTGCTGCTAGTTAAGAGGATGCGTTGGTGGAGATAGACTTAATCCTAGGGGTGTTTATGTTATTATCAACCAGTAGTTTCTTTGGAGAAACATTTATTTTTCATTTAATGAAGTAAAGAATTGAATTACTTGATTAAATCACGTCACACTTTGAATGTAGATTTTTAAAACTGTCTTTTAATGAGAAGGATCAATCTGTTTGCTTCGTTTATTTATTTTTTCTTCAATTTCGAGGAAAATTTTGGATGACAGTAGCGTAGACACCTTTGCTTAATGAAATCTCCAAAGCACAAAGTGCCTTCCTTAAAAAGAATCCTACTAAACTAAGAATATCTTGGAATACTCATAACATCAAGATTATTTGGATAGACACATTATTTTTGAATACCGATCAATGAATAACGTCAGGAATTGATCCTGAAGACATAAAATACCTACTCTATAGATACATTATGTTAAAACATTTATCAAGGAATATAACAACAATCGTTTTCACTGACGATAATAATTATGTCTATTTGAAACTAGAATTCTAAGATGCTGATAGTATTTTGAATTCTCCAGGACATAGAATACCTTTCTCATAAGCAACTCCTTTTTAAATATCAATCAAGAAATAACAATAATATTTTTTTTACAATTTTATTCCTATCTGAAGAAAGAATCTTAACAGATTATGAGTGCCTTTGAATCTTCAAGACATAAAGTATCATTTCTATAGACTTGTCATTTTTAGACATTCGTCAATGACTACCAATCATTTTTATAAAAAATAATCACTATCTCAAATTGAAATTACAATCCTAAGAAACTCAAAGTATCTTCAAATCTTCAAAACATAAAGTAGCTTCTACACTTCGCCTTTGGATGTCAGTCAATGAATAATAATAATAATTTTCGATAAACGATAACGATTATCCTTATTTGAGAGCAAACGCGGTACCCTCCATCCCTTCCCCTAAAGAAAGGGGTACATCTACCCCAAAAATTGATAGTTGATGAGCTACCTCTACTTAGGAGGTATCTTCACAGGGACATTAAGAATATCTCTATCTTAGAAATTTCTAGATGAATAGCTCAATATTTGAGGTATCTCCATGGGAACACCTCTAGCTTCAAAATATCTTCACCTTGGAGGAATCTCCATAGGGACATCAGCTTAAGAATATTTCTACCGTAGAGCTATCTCCATCTTAGGAATACCTCCAGCTTAAGAGTATCTCTACCATAGAGCTGTCTCCACCTTATGGACCTCACAAGCTTAAAAACACCTCACCTAACTCTCTCCCCTTCCCCCATCACCTTAACCCAACCACTTTCTTTCGATCGCCAAGGCAATACCATCACCAAGAAACCCCGACAAAGTGACTCATTGCGGTATTCTGTTCATACAAAACGAAATAAATTAGCAAGCAGACCAGCATCGAGATCGAGCAGCTGAACGCTCGCGTGGTCGAGGCGGAGACCAAGCTGAAGACCGAGGTGCAGCGCGTAAAGAAGAAGCTGCAGATCCAGATCACCGAGCTGGAGCTGTCGCTCGACGTTGCCAACAAGAACAACATCGACTTGCAGAAGACTATCAAGAAGCAATCTCTCACCTTGACCGTAAGCGAAAACACGCTTTAATAAACGGTGACGGTACGCTTTGGCAAGGACGGTTCTACCAAGCTGTCGTTTATTATTTACAGGAGCTTCAAGCCCACTACGACGAAGTTCAACGCCAGCTGCAGGTAACCCTGGACCAGCTGGGCATCAGTCAAAGACGTCTCCAATCGTTGACGGCCGAGCTCGAGGAAGTGCGCGGCAACTACGAATCTGTAAGTGCTATGACGCGTTGGCGTCGACGGAAATACACGAGACGGAAACCTGATAAGTGGCGACTCGGAGCCTCGAGTCGCTTGAGAAACTGTTGACATGTTCTGCGCCAATTTCGTTCACTCTAGAATTCTTCAAGTCCTTAGGGTTCTTCGATGTACCCAGCTATATGAATTCTAGCTTAATAGATGAATAAAATTATTGTGAATATTTTTAACTGTTTTAATATTCTCTGTTGAAATGAAACACTGTTGAAATATTTGGGTTCTACGAGGTACTCAATTGTCTGAGTTCTAGCCTAATGGATGAATAATATTGTTGTGAATAGTCAACCAGCAGTTTGATGAGATAATTTTAATCTCTTGAGGAATGAATTTCAAATAGAATTTTTGTAAATTGATTTTAACAGACAAATATGTTGTCTCATGTTGTGCGAAATTGTTCAAGTGACTTTGTACCTGACTATGGTACAACTTGATCTCAAAATAAATAGAATGTGAAAATGTTAAAAGATGCTTGACCAATTCTTGACCAACGGACAACGAAACGAATCTTTTAATTTCACGATGCAATGTTTAAACGATGCTAAATTGTATTCGAACAGGCCCTCCGTGCGAAGAGAACCGTCGAGCAGCAATACGAGGAGTCGGTTAGCCGCATCAACGAGCTGACCACCATCAACGTGAACCTCGCCTCGTCGAAGGCCAAGCTCGAGCAAGAACTGTCGACCCTGGCTGGCGACTACGAAGAGGTCACCAAAGAATTGAGAGTCAGCGACGAGAGATACCAGCGAGTGCAGAACGAGCTCAAGCACACCGTGGAGATCCTCCACGAGGAGCAAGAGCGCATTGTAAAGATCGAGGCCATCAAGAAGTCCCTCGAGATCGAAGTGAAGAACTTGTCCGTGCGATTGGAGGAAGTTGAAGCCAACGCCATCGTGGGAGGCAAGCGTATCATCAGCAAGCTCGAAGCTAGGGTAAGATGTTTAATCCAATAGTACTTGGTGTTTGTTTCTGATTTTGTAGAATTGCTCGGGTGGATGAAACATGAAGGTTCTGATGTATATGGAAAATAGATATTTCAGTTATAAAAACTGTATGTCATGAGAGTCTAGAAGTAGATTAGGCATATTAAATGGAATCTTAGAAGCAAGTAGGAGATGATTCTATGTGAAAAATTGAATCGAAAATGTAGAATAAAATTTTTTCATATGACGTCTTATTTTCGAAAATTAAGTTTGAAAATTTGTCGGAGTAACTGTGCCCTCATTAAATTGCATCGAACGTTTTCTAATGTGTCGTTGTGGAAGAATCAAGTTCTAAAAATATAAAATATCTACAATCTAAAATGGTATCATGCCCTCAGTACTAAACGACGAAGAACCACCTTGTGAAAATACAAAATAACATGAATCTAAAATCATGTTTCCCCCTAAGTCTTGTCAAAACTTATTTCACTATTTGAAGAAAGCAGATTCCTTGAAGAATAATAAACCACTACATCCGCCCAGACTCGGACTTGATCCATACCTGCTTATTTTCCCCCAAATAATAATGAAACATTAAACGTTCAACAATGTGACAACAATTTCTGATATTTCCATTTTGTAGATTCGTGATTTGGAACTGGAATTGGACGAGGAGAAGCGCCGACACTCCGAGACGGTGAAGATCCTGCGCAAGAAGGAGCGCAACATCAAAGAGGTGATGATCCAGGTGGAGGAGGACTCGAAGAACATCGCACTGCTGCAGGAATCCCTGGACAAGGCCAGCCAGAAGGTGAACATCTACAAGAGACAACTCCAGGAACAAGAGGGCATGTCCCAGCAAAGCGTGACCAGGGTCCGCCGATTCCAAAGGGAACTGGAGGCCGCGGAGGACCGCGCAGACACCGCCGAGAGCAACTTGACTCTGATCCGCGCGAAACACCGCAGCTTCGTCACAACCTCCACCGTGCCCGGTTCCCAGGTGTACCTCGTCCAGGAGACGAGGACTGATATTTAAAAACGCCACCGCCATCGACACCCCACCCTTTGCCACTTCGAATGCCACCTCGTCGTCTTTAGAAACGTAGGTATCATATCATGCAACTGCGGATCTTTATGCAAATATTGTGATGTAAAATATACGTTCAATATTTTTTTATATTATTACATATTGTAGTTTCTTGTATACTCAAATTTCTTTGTTCTGGAATTTATTTTACTGTGAAGATAGTGTAATATAAACTGTACTTTCAATATCATCTTATATTATTGCACGCTGTAATTTCCTATAAATGCATATAAATCATCAATTTACATAAACAATACAGTATACATATATATGACACGTATTTAGTAAATTATAAATACCAAACTACTTTTATTTTGTCCACTCCATGGATACTAATTCAACAAAATTAAATGCGCACAATATTAAGCTTCCAATGCACAATGTGATCAATTGAGAATGCAATTAAAACAAGTCCTGTGAATGTGTTACGAATTTCTTAAAGATATTTTATAATATCTGCACGTGATGTTCTCTACTGATAGTCATTAAACTTTTGCTACTTCCGATAAAAAGAGTAGATGACCACAAAATAATTCCATTATCGAAATTCAAAATAAAATTACAACTAGCAATTGTAATTGAGTCATGTCGATCGAGTGCTGAAAATTTAAATACACCCTCAAGTTAGAAAAAAGTAAAGATCATGATTGTTGATTTAAAACATGGCATTTTGATCAAGATGGTAATCTAAAAATACTACACTTCCTTTTTCTTTTGTCACTTTCTTAGGCCTTTTAACAACTTAATTACATTCCCCTAATTTTCAACAGGCGTAACGAATAAATGACGAAAAAAAGGAAGAGCCCCAACACATCATCGTAAGACAGAAGAGCCGAGAAGAGTTTCCAACGGGCCGCAATCGGGAACATCGTGAAAAGGGGGAGAATAAGAAAACCGTATCACCTTATTATTCATCCGTACTGGCGACAGCGCCCAAACGACCCGTCGTAAATTCGAAAAATAACTTGGCAAACGCGACGCGGTACCCGTCGCAACGAACTGCAAAAACAAAGCAAAGGCAAAGCAACGAAAAAAAAGTAAAATGAAGAAAAGTTAACAAAACGCGCGACCATCGTCTGTATTCGATCAAATGAAAATAAAGATGTACGCCTAAATCTATATGTACGCACGAAAATCAACGATTCGGTAAATATACTTCATTGCATCTATTATGTGAGAATCGCTGCGCGTAAGGAGAGAGAAAAGTAAATAAATAAATAAAAGAATATAAAAAAAAAATGAACACAAGACCGTACAACCTGCGCCTTACGGCAAAATTGATAGCGCGTGTCGCACTTGTATTTAAATGAATTAACTTTAATTCTACTTCTATTATTATATATAAATATACATACATATATATATATAATACATATAGATAGGTATTATTGCCCATACACACAACTCTCACTGTACGACATACACAATAACCTGTGTCAACATTAATTTAATAAATAAACTGAAACACGTACGAATTTAGAGCAACTATATTTCCGGTACTATGAATTAAAGGTAGGCAAAATTCTCAACTAAATACAATATTCTAACTAAATAATTAAATTTAACATTCGATTTAAATGTTAAGCTTGCAGGTACAATTAAATTAAATATTACATTCAAATATTAACTATGAATAAGTAATTGAATATAACATTTAATTCAAGTGTTGATATTGACGCAATAATTAATTTCAACATTCAATTCGAACACTCGAATAAATGTTTTCAATTCTAATTTTAAGAATTTTTACCTTCGCCATCTGTAGGAAGACCCCCAAGTTTGTCGTGGAATAATTCTCACTAGTCTCGCAAAATGGCGCCACCTAACTAATGTTGCGATAATTATTTCTGAAACATACTATATATACGTTATAGCAGTATTTTTATATCCCAATGGTCCATTCGTGATTCGCCTCAGTCACCTGCAACAGAACGAACGCATATTATTCTCTATTCTTTAAAGATAGAAAAGAAATCCGTAGATGGTCTCCTTTTTTTGTTCTTGCCCTAACTAAAACTACGAAGTTACTCCAAAACGAACGCGATGGTATCAGACGCAACACTAATAGCAACCACGATTCATAGTTATTCGCAAAACTACCATGAAAGGAAACGCGAAAAATACTACTTGAAAATATGTAAATTATTTCAAATCGGACGCGATTTATCAGTCGCAACATTAAAACCAAACGCGATCAATGTTTATGCGCAACACTACCCTGAAAGAAAACGCGAAAAGTACTACTCAAAAGCAATCGTAAGGTGCATCATTATTCGAAACAATAATCTATTAAGTATAAAAGGCACAAATCGCGTGCACCAAATAATACGAATCCCTGATTAAAAATTCACAGCTCAGGCTGCGCAGAATCATAGTGGCAGCCACTTTGGCTGCTTGGTGATTCTTGAAGTGATGATGGTGTCAAATTTTGGGCTCTTCGTGTGACGAAATACTAATTCGAAACGCGTGAATTTACAACAAATCGGTCACGATTCATTTATGCGCAACACTAATGGCACTCGCGGCTGGTCTTTGTACGCGACTCTACTCTGGAAGAAAACGCGAAAAATACTAATCAAAAGCTAAATTGACTCTAAACACTACTTTTAAACGGACGCGATATTCATTATACGCAACACTAATTGCGATCGCGGTTGATCTTTATTACGCAACACTATCTATCCTGAAATAAAACGCGAAAAATCAATCAAAACAATCCTAATAAACGAACGCGATATTTTCATTTCGTAATACTAAAGCAATACGCGATTTGCCCAATTGACACTGGATGATGAATTCCCACGTTGGGGTACATGACCCAAACAAACAAACTACTACAACTACAGGCGAATACAGTGACAAAGTAGTAATAGTAATGACTCCCCATCTTCGAATCCGAAGATGGAGAGCCATTCGTTGCAGCCCTTTCTTGTGACAATTTGTCAGGGTCTCTCTTCTTTCTTCGGACGCATTGTCCCATCTGAAACTTATAGCTA